TCGCCGTCCGTTTCTCCTCCAGTTGCGGACCAAGGGTTTCCCATCCCAGCGCTTTCTCGAACTTCTACCCACCCCGCCAGCTTTCGACCTAACTAACAGACCACGCCATTCACTCTTTCGCTGGTCTTCTCTTCACTACTCGGTGCTGTTCGATATTTCACCTCAGTGCTGTGTCGCTTCATTGGAATGTGTGACTTTTAAGACGGTCGTGGAACGTCCTGCTCGCCCGCTTGAGCGCACCTCGACCGGCGTTTCCCCCCATATCCTCGTCTTGATACTAGTCTGAATCTGCTGTGATCTGCTGCTGTATTGAAGATCTTCGATTCAGGTCTCCCTTTCGCGAGGCTCGGGCTGCCCAGGCTTAGGCCAACCTCTTTCGTCACCCTGCACTCCGTCCTCGATGTCTGATCGCGCCTCCTCGGCATCATTTCGAGTAGGACCTCCATCACCATCGTCTCCCGCCGCAGGGGCTCTCAAGCAGAACCAGTTGCCAGCTCCCTCGTCCGATCGAATTCCACAGACTCCGACATCACCTCCGTTGATGTCGGTAAGCGCCCAGAACTATGCCACCAACTTTGTATCCTCGCAAGCATCACCTAACCAGGCGACCTCTCAATCCGCAACTCTCTCATCACCCCCGTCTTCCGCTCCGATGTCCACTCAAGCCTCGCAACAACCGACGGTAGGTACGGCGAATTCGTTTCCGACGCCGGCCAGCAGCGTGAGCGGGCACTTCCCGGGTGCGACTTCTTTCGATGATTCTGAACATACAGATAAGCCAATGGGCTCGGCAGTTCCAGATACAGGTGCGCAAACAGCGAATATGAATGCCGCGGCCATACAGCAGGCGGAACACAGACGGACAGATCATGACCGGCATATAGAAGGTTTAAATATGGAAGTTGGAGTCCGCGACTTTGCTGCGAACAACGGAGGCGACGCCATGGATATCGATAGTGAGGTTCCGGCTTCAACCAGTCGCAGTGAGCCAAGCTTGGAATCCTTGCAGAAGAACTTTTCGTCTGCCTTTCATGTTTGCAAAAGCTGTAAGAGCTCCCCAGTCCTTGGCATGGCTGTTGCCACAATTTGCAATGCACTCTCTCCCATCTTATATTTGGATTGAGCTTTGTTAACACATGTGGCCTTATGAACGTACAGCCCATATTGCGACTGGACCGGATCCGTCGCTAGATCTCATCTCACTCTACGGATTAGGTCCAGTGGCAAAGTCTGTTGCTCGGATGGATCCTGTGACAGGCGAGAAGATCAACAGGCTTAGGAAATCCTATGAAGGAAAACTGAAGGGCTTGGGACTCGCAGGGAGGAACAAGCCAGTGAAGACTGAGCCTGGTGCGCCCGGCAGCCTTAGGCACATGACCATGTGGCCAGAGGAAGAATGGCAAAACCAGAAGGTGTTCGGGAAGGAGATCAAGGTCGCGGATATGGACTCCGCGCTGCAGAACTTGCAGATGAGGGCCATGAAAATGGAGCCGGGCACGGTACCGAACAACGAGTATTGGGAAGATGTGCTGGGCCACGAGAAGCCATCTAAGCACGCCGGTGGCGACGTCAGCAAAAAGGGCGTCGCACCCCCTCCCAATGGAGTCCGGATTTCCCAACCGAATGGAACCCCAGCGCCTGTTTCAGACCAAGAGCGAGCCCGGCCCAGCAGGGGACGTAAACGGCATTACGATGACAACAGCTTTGTTGGATACGGCGAAGGTTACGCAGACGACGATGACGATGGGGCATTTTATTCAAACAGTGAAGGCATGGGGAAGAAAAAACGGAAGAAGGTAGGGCGTTCGGACGGTGAAATGCCATTCTAACATACTGATCACATTCGCTTATTTTTCGAAAAGGACCACGTTTCGAAGATATCTACCCCTCTACCTGACCGAGGTGGAAGTTACGGGGTTGGTATGTTTGGGATCGGGGCCAGGTAAACGAACGGGACGGAAACCTGATGGGATGAAAAGCTTTGTGGCTTGTTCGTTTCTTTTCTCTGCCTTCTTGGCTTTGCTTCATGCATAGGGTCCTTGTTCTAAAGGCGAGGGCTAGACTCTGTTGGGTCTGTCTCTAGCATTGTGACTTGCTTGACAGGTTCATCAGGTCCATGGTCCTGTCCTCGCCATATCTGTTAATTCTCCGTACAAATTTTGCATCACGGTGCTGGATATACCCGGCTTTCACAATGGGACGGCGTTGGAGGAGCCATGATTTGTTGCGGCACGGTTTTGCCTGTTTCTTTGCTTGCACTCTATTCTGTCTATGTGCTTCCTGATTGACAGGGAGCTGGAGTTGTAATGACAATTTTTATTTCGCTGTGTTTACTGCTGGCCATGTCGACAGACTCCGATGCCAGCTTTTGAGCTTTTCTTCTCTCTTGTGCCAGATGGACCATCGCCCGCCACTGGAAGAGCATGTATTTCTTTGTTTCGAGTCTGTTGATGTGCGGCGGATTGCTTGGGCGCGACAGTACAGGATTCTAGCTTAGCATCGACGATGCTTGTGTGATACAATACTAGATGGATAGGAATGACATCTACGTTAAACGTGGGTAGTTCATCCCATCATGGATAATAAATCAGAGCTAGAAGTATACAAGCAAAATACTGCAGATACGATACCTTGACACCGACACAGTCCAGACACTCACCCTCACCCATATGTACAACCAGTAAATACAACTCTACCCAACACCTCCCTCTATACCAAGTAGAGAATCAAACCAGGAAAAAAGAGAAACTCACCCAAACCAATACCCATTCAACTCCTCCAAAGTCCTCCCCCCAACATCCTCATGCCGATTCTCCTCCCATACTTTGCCCCCCTCACCAAACCGATTCGCCATATGTCCCAGAAAGAAATCCAGATTCTCCCGACACTCAGGGAAGGCCTCTTTGAAGGTATCATACAGCTCTTGCACGGAAGGTTTGCTGCTGCTGCTGCTGCTGCTGCTGCTGCTGCTACCACCATTACCACTGCCAGAAGCATAGACAACTTTCTCCGCAAACAGGCGTAGATAGCGTCTCGTGTGGTCTAGATCCGCCTTGACATCCAACTTCCATCCTGCTTCCATATGGCCTGGAATAACTTTTAATGGGTGTAGATGGTCGATCATGTCGAGGGTTTTGAGCCATGCTTGTACGAGAGCGGGGGATTCGAGTTCTTCGGCCCTGTAGTATAGTATATGTTCATAAGTAGGTGTAATATCGGAATGTAGATAGTATAAGCCAGCCAATAACTCTCATCCAGGATGCCCCTTCCGAAACCTTATCCAGCAATGTAAGAACTGGAAGTGAATTCCGCCAACCCTCAGAAAGAATAACAGAGAAGGGAGCGGAGGGAACAAACCAAACATGCACACTCCTCCCAAAGACGACATCACCTGCAACCACCGTCCTACTTTCCGGAATCCAAAAAACCGTCTGATCCACACAATCACCCTGTACCGGACCCAACAGCACAACCGGACTCCCATCCAGCATAAAGAAGCTGGACAAGTATGGGTCCGGCTTGCGGGGCTTAGCGGGAACGGCGTCCGACCCGAGCACCGTCGGCCAGTATTTGACTTTCTGGTCGTATTCGGCGTTGATGCGGGAGCAGACGTAGGGGGCGGCGTAGAATTTGGCGTTGGGGAAAGCGGCCAGGATGGGATTCGCGGAGAAGAAGTGGTCTGGGTGGTGGTGGGTGAGGAAGATGGCGGAGGGGGCGTGGGGAGTTAGGGATTTTATCCAGTGGATGGTGGATTCGGCGTCTTTGAGGAGGAAGGGATGGTCGATGAGGAGGGATGCGTGGGGGGTGGTGAGGAGGGTGGTTATGGAGGAGAGGCCTTTGGGAGTGGAGGTGTGGTGGTGGGTTTGGATCATTTTCAGTTGGGGAGGGAGTTTGGTTCAATGGGGGTATATTGGGGTGGATATTTGTTGTTGGGATGGGATGGGATGGGATGTGTGAGTTTATATATAGACCTGTAGTACTGTATATGCGATGCAATGCTCTGGTTTGTTGGTCCACTATGAATGAGTGCTGGATTGGCTATATCCGTGATGGGATACACCCCCGCACGCAGTAGCAGTTGCATCATATTGATTTGGGGTGTTTATAGACCCTCTGTTGTTCGATGCCGAGGTTGATATGCCTGTCAAATCTGCCGATTGTTTGAAAAACTGATGATCAATCAATCCGTATTTCCGAATTGCATCGGAAGCTCCGGAAGCTGAATCTTGCAGCATATCCTCGCTCATCCGTGATATCAAGATCCGCAGTGGAAGCGGGGTTGACGTGATGAACCATACTATGATTGGACTTTGCCACATCTCTGAACTAGATTAAGTACCCACCTTGTGTATAAGCCCGCAGTCATTAAGAGAGTCCGTGACACTGCTGGTAAGAAGATGGAAGGTGAATTACGCAGTACGAAGTGTAGATTGAAGATGGTTGTAGAAGGTGGCCGGCTGATCATATCCCGCTTCCTTGCACTAATGGATAGTGGCATCTTGACTTGCGGTGCAAACTTGGCTCTCGTCTCAGCAGTGTACTTTGTTGATAAAGGGGAAGTGACTATCTTAGCTCTTCTAGCAATGCATTATAGCCATGGATTATAAGCACAACATTGCGGATGGCCGGGAGGTAGGAGTAGTAGGGATGTTTGCTGTGGTAGCTAGTACTAGGGCTAGCTTCACACAATGACGATACCTGCATACATTCTTCCCCATACTTCGCCTATACATTATACACAAATACTCGTGTAAGCTGTCCTTTTGTTCTAGCATTAGATGCTAATATCCACTCAAATTATCGCCACCGTTCTGCATACATACTCCATAGTCATCGGCACTGTTCCATGTAGTAGCAAAGGTGCCTTAACCGCCAGGCAACTTAGGTCTTGACTCCGGTACCAGACAGACCGAGAGGTATTCTGCTAAAAACCTATTATTTTACAGAGTACATCTTAGGCTTTTCGCTCAGGTATGACCAAAGTGAAACTCCCTTCACATACACTATCTTTGAGAATACTCGTAAGAGTACATGAGATATCTACCACCGAGCAACCAAAGGCGCCTATAAAGTTTCAACTACCGAGTTATGTGTGAACTCACAGCGTCTTCAGATCATGAAAATAAGCCAGGTTTTTATATCATCTCTTCCAATAAGATCGCTTCCAATTCAAATAGCCGACACTATGTCTACCATAACTTATGCATACTACATGCAAGTGTAGGTAGATATCCAGCGCCTCAGAGCATCGGAATATAATTATACAAAGAAACAACATAACTACTCCATGCCCTAAAAACAGCCACATCTCCGCGGACTCCCCTCCAGCCCTATATCTCTCACATGCTAGACCATAATAACTCAATATTAAACTCACCAAAACCCAACCTACCATGTGGGGTGTACTTCCTTATCGCTTATCAGCACTCCCCCCACCCTCACATACCCAGAAAAGAATTAGGAACCCACCCAAATGCCGACCCGCCAGCCAATCCCGCAGCCGGTATTTGATGCAACTGCACCGAACCGCAGGGCAACCCCGAGGTCGGAATGAATCCAATAACTCGATAAATCATCACCTAACGACAGCGTTTGTCTACAGATTATTCCTGTACAGATCCAACCTCTTTATATTCCCTATACATATATTATATATATTACAAAGTTTATAACCACCTCAATCACAACTTACTTACCCTCCCGATCCAAATTCATATAAGAAGAATTTAAGATGGACCCCCTAACAACCGCCCTCACTCGAATTGACGCCCTTCACTCCGAAGACCCCACCAAAGTCTCCAACACCGACATCCCTTACGAACTACACTACGCCGAGAAAATGACCAGCTACCTATACAAACACACCCCGGATCCCTCCCCGACCCTCCAGCTCGCTATTCGCGCCCAGCATCTCAAGCGCTGGGAGGTACCCCGCAGTACTTACCCCGATGGTAAAGTAGGGTACTATTCCTGGCGGACGGCGGTGGCGCGCCGCCAGGCTGAGATAGCGGTGCAGGTGTGTCTGGAGAGTGGCATTGGGGAGACGGAGGCGGAGCGCGTGGGCCGGTTGATTCGCAAGGAAGGGTTGAAGGGAGGGGAGGATGCGGAGGCACAGATTTTGGAGGATGTGGCGTGTTTGGTGTTTTTGGATGACCAATTCGAAAAGTTCAAAGAAAACTATGAGAGGAAGAAGGTGGTGGAGATCTTGAGAAAGACCTGGGGAAAGATGTCGGAACGGGGGAGGAGTTTGGCATTGGAGTTGCAGATGGGGGATGAGGCAAATGATTTGGTCAAGGAGGCTTTGATGGGTTAAATTCCGGTCCATATCTATTTGTTTTATATAGTATATTACTTTGTTAATAAGAATTGTGGATATATATTAAAGTTAGAATTTGTTTTGTTGTCAAAGAGCCGCTCTATGGAATGGTGATCGTGGTATCTATTAATGTACAGTCGTTATGGCATAAGATGGTGAGTGGATAACTTTTGGGGTTGGGAGATCACGCTCCGCCGGTGTCGATCAAGCGGACCAAGGCAATCGCTGCTCCGGCTGCTACTCCGCCCACGAAACACATTTGTATTCCTCCCTTGATGCCTGCAACAACGTTGTCGCGCCCGGACCAGCCGCGCACCACACATGTCTTGATGTATCCGAAGGCCAGCAGCGTGATTGCCATGACTCCGATGCTCATGTACAAGGCCACGATCACCTGGTCGACGATGAAGTATGGGATGAGAGGGATGAAACCACCCACGAAATAGCCCAGCGCGAGTGTGATGGCGGAGATCCAGGCCTGGTTGCAGTCAGGCTCGGATTCCTTGTGGTGGAAGCTGACCAGGAAGTCGAGAAGACGATCTTCAGAGGAGTGGAGGGACATGTTAATCTGGTTGATGACATCTTCGGGGAGACGGTAGGAAGCGAAGATGGATTGGACGATGGAGCTTGTTTCGGCAGGTGATGTGTCGATGAGTTCCTTTGCTTCGCGCACGGTGGTTTCATAGGATTCACTATTTGCTGTTAGGATTGAACTGGAGAGGTAAAGTGACATAGAGAACATACGCTTCGCTCTTTGCACCGACATATCCTCCCAGGCCCATGGAAATGGCACCCGCAGTCAATTCGGCCAATCCACCAAGCACAACGACTTTGGTGTTTCCTAGCGCCGAGAGACCAGCGCTCAGCGCAAACGGTACAGTCAAGCCATCTGATAAACCTAGAATGGCGTCGGATACAATGCGTGGGTTGATACGAGATCGCGAACTGCTAGTGCTGGCGGCGGTGCTGTCGGTGTCGGAAATGGGAGATGAGGCGCGGAAGGTAGAGTAAGACCGTTGAGCTTCGAGGTCTTGCTCGGTCGGCAAAGTATAGGTATCTTCATTAGATAGCAGTGGTTTTCCTGGTTTGGTCAGTCTAACTCGTATTGTATTATCCATTGGTAGGCGAGCATACCATATGGAAGGGCCTGTTTTTGCTTTTCGCTCGGGAAGAGCTTCTGCTTCAGAAATAATAGCGCCATTGTAGATTGACTGGGCTGCTGCGGGCTGCCTCAGGCCTGACGTCAGAAGCCGGAGTCGGTGGCCGAATCTAGACCCTCTTAACAATTCCGGTAAGGCTGAGGGATTCTCGAGAGACGGCGAAGCTGGACGAGACAAACAAAGTCCAGACGTGATAGAAAGAAGCTTGATCGCTTTCGAGGATTTGATTTGGATGACGATTCCAGCCAGACGAAAAATCTTCTGGAAGCACTGATATTTATAAGAAAACTCCCCCTGTGGCAGCCAGAATCGACTTTTTCTGATTGTTCTCCAGACCCTTCCAGGCTGCCTTGGCGCGGGCCAATCACAAGCCGCGTAATTGTCAGCGGGTGTAGATCTCGGCGCAAAGCTCCAGCAGCCCCTCGGGGTTAAGCCAATACACCGATATTGATTGGCTTTCACAGAGCACCGCTGACATTTACCAGGACACTGACTGGCCAGATGCAGCAAGGTTGCTGCTCGATTACGCACTCGGATGCAGACTTGTCGGTCTCCGATGCGGATTGAGAGCAGTCCGAGAGGGGGAATACACCGAATTCACCAGCAAAGTAGGTGTGGCGATGCAGCTAATATCTGACCAGGAGGCCAATGCTCAACACCAGTCTGAAATTTTCAGGGTGAGACGCGGCACGCTGTGTAGCATTGTACACTTGCCTGTTGTTGCTGCACTGCTGAGCACATTGACGTAAGTGAAGGGCGATCTGTTTTAGGGGTTTCGCCTTCATAGCTGTGCCGTGTTCATGGAGCTTGGCTTCGATGGAGCCAATCTTCCGACAATCACTGTAATGGAGCTTGCCGGTTCGGGTTATACGTTCCATGGCTGAAATTGAGGAGAATCTTGGGAGAGATACCGAGGATCCGCCAGGCATCTCTCGTGAGACTGCTTACTTGTGCTTATTCCTCAGAAAAACTATACGGATGAGCGTTGAGATACTCTCAATATTTGGGATTTCGCCCTGGATATCATGAAATCCACCTAACGAAGATCACTAAACGTTCTGACCCGCCCTCGACCGGTTTCGCTAAGGGCAGGTCTGAGCCGAAGGCCGCGATCAGCAAGAGCGCCCACTATTATCTCAGGTTTACGACATTAAGTTTGCGACTCCTCATTACCAGTGGAGTAAGCTTACTGAGCTCCGCTCCGCAACCCCTAGTTTGGGGTTCTGGAAACGAGAAAGAAGACACTTATCCGCATATAGAGAAGTGTTGGCTAGCAATCATCGTCAGTATCCTTCAGTCGATAACGGAAACAGGTGTTCTCAAGTACTAGTACCCGAGTAGTGAAGCGTCAGTCTAATGCTTCAGTCATTTGCAGTGTGCTATGTACTTAGGGAATGGCGTGACTGCTATGATTAAGCCGCTTGTACCTGGGTCAGCTCTGACCAGTTGATGATATATAGTATGTTTTGGAGTAATAGTATGGACTAGTAATGAGCATTTTGCAATTCGCTAGCTTCCTACACGAGAGTATATGATGTTTAGACTTGTGTCTTAGTGTGAAGTATTCCATGTCAATAACAAATCCTTCTATGAGCCACCAATCAATACCCTTGCCAGTATACTTAACTTTAATCCTATATGGCCAAACCATATTCAAGCCAACCACTATATCATAACAAATTTACTATCAGTACCCCTCCAGCACAGACTACCTCAGCCACTTATGCTAACACCTGAAGCATGGGTCCCGGTTCCAAATCCTATTCCCGATCTGCCGGAATAACAGAGAATGCCGTTGAACACGATGCCCTGGGTTATCAGGGGACTCGAGGCCATATGTCAGAGGGAAAGCTCGTCAATTCTATCCAAAGGAGGTTGCACCATATCTTATGAACCGGAACCTCCAAGCATTCTTCCTAGAAATGGCTATAGAGCCTGCTAGTCATATTCGGTGCTACGATCCGCCAGCTTTCACCTGCTCGTACAGGACATGTCCAACCCCCACACTTTAGGGCTGTGGAATCTTGCCTACCGTACGTTTCATCAGACGCTGGAAGGTCATATTGATGGTCTGGTGGCATCAGCAATCTCACATGGCGGCCAGATAATTGCAACTGGGTCTGATACAGGTATAATGAGGTTGTGGAACATGGCTATGAGTAGGGCAGTGCCATCCCAAAATAAAATGTGTGAGCGCCCTCCTCACGATGACCTGCTAGCATCGTGCTCTTACCTTGGCGAGGTCGAAGTGTGGAATGTACAAGATGGTTCGCTAGTTCACAATCTCGAGAATCTTCACCCTTTGTCGGTAGAATTCTCATGTAATGGTCAATTTGTCGCCTCTTGCGGCTGGGATGGCACAATTAAACTCTGGAACTGCGCTTCAGGAAAATTAGAGTATCACCTGAATTGTGTTCAGACTCTTTCGTTCTTACCCAATGGCGAACTAATCTCTGATTGGGGCGATGGCTTTGTACGCCTGTGGGATTTACGGGTCGGCAATGGAGACTCAACCTCTGTTTCCCATACTTCCTCCATTCTTTCTAATCATCCCTTGTCCTGTAAATCCAACTTGGTTCTCTTGGTCACACTTGATGGCGCAACCCTCTGGGAGTTCTCCACAGGCACTCCACAGAACCAGCTCCAGGGTCTCGAAAATCCCATTACTGGCCCTGAAATCTCTGGCGACTGCCGCCTTGTTGCAGCATTTGCGGAAGAGACAATCATGGTTTGGGACACAGGCAGTGGGAAATTGAGGCAGGCGTTGAAGTCGGATGTTGACGGCTCAGATATTGAGTGTTACGCCAGTATAAAGGCTGCTTTCCGGCCAGATCATTACATGGGCCCTTGACACCCTGTAGTTCCAAGTATGGGATCCATTTTCGGGGAAGCAAATCGAGACTTTGAACGGCTCGATTGAGCTGAGTTCATTTGAAGTCTCCCACGATTGTCACCTGTTAGCTGTCACTGACTATATGAAAGTCGGCATTCGTGAACTTTCAACAGGGAAGCACATCTACCTGAAAAAATCATATGATTTAAGTATGAGAATGGTATTTTTCGCCGAACGATATGACGCTTGCTGTGCTTTCCAAGAGCTGTGGTAGGCTCACCTTGGATTTGTGGGATGTGCCATCGTGTGAATTGCATCGTTCTATCGATGGTGTCACTGGGCGCTACAATCACTTTTTCAAAAATGGCAATTATGTGAGCACGGTGCATGGACTGTATCACATAGAGACTGACACTGAGGGCTATCTGGTCTCTCTATCTGCTGTTGATAATCGAATAAAGGTGGAGGATGGATGGGTCTGCCTCGGGAAGGACAAGATTCTATGGCTTCCTGATGTATATCGGCCAGTGGAAGGTTTCGGGGGGTTCCGCATCAAAGATTCCACACTTATTCTTGGATCCCATTCCAACCGTCTCTTATTTATTGGTTTTGATATTCAGGCTAAACGAGACTCTATTGAAACATTCACTCCAGCCAGCGTCAGCTGATCTTTTACCTCATCTTCCTGCGTGTTCTCTAACCACCACCTCTCCCAACAACCACCCATCTTCTTGAGCTCTGGATAGATCAGACCCATATCTTTGACCCTTCGTCTTGACAATGTATATACACATTCCCACTGCAACCAACCTACAAAACAATCGCCATCCCCAAAATTCCCGCAGCACCCATAATACCCGCCATGCCTGTGGCCTTCGGAGCCGCGGGCCCAGCACCACCATGCGAAGACGAGGTGGAAGGCGAAGCTGTTTCAAACGCCGTCGAAAAGTACGATTTCACATCCCCATTCAGACTACTGTACCATGAAGGGATGATTCCGTTTTTCCACTCGCTCGCCACCGACGACCAAGCTGTCGGGTTCGTCATCTCCGAGATGACAGAGGTCGGAACTTCGGTGATCAGGTCGGATCTGATGGAGGTAGGTACTTCGGGGAAGAGGGTGGGCATTGTGGTGGTGGTGGTTGGGTTGACTCTGTAGGGTTTGGTGCTTTGTTAGCTGGGTAATGGATGGGGTTGAGAGTAAGGAATGTGTAGGTATGTAGGTAGGTATACAGGTTACTTAGAGGGTTAGATAAGTCTGAGTCGGTGTTGTCGTCTCGCTTCTCGATGTTTGGGTCAGAGTCTGGGTTCGCTAGTGCTAGGGCTGATAGAAGTAGAACAGAGAGAGTTGTGAAGCGCATTTTGGTTGGTATACTAGTAAGGTATAGTGATTGTTTCGGGTGTGATTGGTAGGTTGGTTGATGCGAGGGGGTAGGGTATGATGTTTTGAGGAATTGGGGAAGGACTGTGGGTGAAGTGAGTTAAATATTCAAGCTACTATCTATCATTGCCTTCTATGGAGTGCTTAGGCAGCCTCACTGCCTGCGATTGTACGTTATAAGATAACTCCGAGCCAAAAGCAGCGATCTGCGTTGTGTCCAGACACCGGGACTCGGATTTGTAGCAGTGCATATCAAGGTTGGAGGACATAGTACCTATAATAAGATGGGCACTTCATACTCAAAATCTGCTTCACATCAATCTTGTATCATAGATTTTATGATAGAGAGGGGAGGAGAAAGAAGGAAGGTAGATGCCCATGCGTGGTAAATCCTAGACATCTACTCCGTAGATCCGGCTCAGCTGCGCCGTTGGGGGTCTGGTTGAGTTGATCCCAAACCTAAGGCTCTCCCAGCTCGTAACATTAATGACGTAGACTCCAGCATTATAGAAACTCCGTCGTGCAAAATATGCTTAACCATACGTAGTAGGCTTGTATTTGCACTATGCGATCGAGAGTGGTCGGTTACACTTGAAGTATGTTGTTGGGGCTGGCCGATAGCCGATCTCGCCGTAAGAGGAATAGGAGGGGCCACCCTCGGCTGCCACTAGGAGTATCTATTCGCCTTATTTCTTTTCTTCTTCTATTCCACCTTATTCTTGAACATTAGAGCATAACTTCGAGTGCTAATAATATCTTGAATGGTGGCTTATGCTTGCTTTGCTTCTTTCTTCTTCCTTTTATTGCAGATTTGCGTTTTACTTCTTGTGGCAGAGCTGCGCTTTCCATTGAGTTAGTACTATTGCTGACATGCCAGGTCAAGGCGCATATGCCAATGCCAGAAGACAATCCGTGCCATTTTGACGATAGCCGGAGAGCGCACACGGCAGACACTGCTATCTTCCGTTCATGAATTACCGACTGAACCTGCTCGTGCTCGACAGTGACCGAAGTAGACCGTGCGTATCGCAACCACGACGACCGACCGACCCTCCGTTGTACTACTACACTGTGCGTCCTCAGGCAACAGCGCGGGGTGAAGGCAGGCAGTTTTGGTGTTCCCGGCGGCTCGCTTAGCAGCCAATCAGGACCATAGAATAGCACCCGCTCTTCCTATATAATCCATTGTAAAGAGGTAACTATTGCCTTTGGGCATTTGGTCAATTTGAAACGATACAGAGAAGATTAGCATGGCCCCTGCACTAAGGATGACACGCTCAATCAAAGAGAAGCTACCAGTTTTTTTGCAACTTTTACAGACTTCATATGGAGGTAGGAGTGTCTTCGTGCAGTATATGGTGTTGAGGAGGTGACGGGTTCGAGTTGCGTCGGTCGCTGTCTTTTTTTTATTTCCTTAACATATACATGGAGTTGCGCTTCGCCTGGCCTCAATATATATATTTTGCGAGTAACACTCATAGCACTTACAACAATCTTTACTTGATCAATGTGAAAAGATATTTACTTTAATTTCATGGTGAATATGCAGGTCAATCTGATATATATATACAGACAATACTCCGTAGAGATCATTATGGACCAAAGCGATCAATTAAGCACCTCCCTCCCGCTTCGCATATTCCTCCTCCATTCTCTCCTCGTACAACCTATCCGCTTCCTCCTTGCTCAAAGGCCTGAGATCCTCCGAGCCCGTGGACAGGTATTCGGGTATCGAGCCACTGTTCTGGTCCATGCCTGTGCCAAAGGCGGACGCGCCGAGGGTATTTCCCGTTGCTGCGAGGCGGTTGGCGGAAGAATCCGAGGTACCGTCTGTGCCGTTGGGCAACGAGTTGGTGTCTTTGTGTGGCATTTTTAAGAGGGTTGGTTGGATATTGTTTGATTTCTCTTGATGGGAGGAAAGGGAGGGAAGGACAGGGTTTGTTTGAAACAGATAGTCAGGTAGGTATTGCAAGTATTATGGGTAGTGATGTGTTGCGATATTGTTTACTTATATGCGTCGAGGTGGCGACCCAGCATCCGCAACGTCATAGGCCACACCGACCGTGGCTTAGCAACCCAAGTTAAAGAGTACGAGCTCCCAACATCGCGGATATTATTGCCTTCCAGTCGGTAGTTACTTCCGTCCCGCACTGCTAAGCATCTTATTCGCTGGTACGATGCCACCACTTGAGACGCGGTTTTCTACTGCTACTAAGTCCTCTTCTCCACCCTCGGGCCACTGGCCCAAGAACTGATGAAAAGGAAATAAAAGCTCCAAAAGGAGAAGTGCCAAAGAATACGCCTGTCAATGACCCGTAGGCCGTTGAACGGATTGTTCCGCCGCGCTGTGCAATGCAGGGACCAATCCGTGGTGAACCGCCTTCTTGATCGCAGTCACCCAAACAAGGTAAGTATGAAGAAAAGAAAGAAGAAAAAAGTCTAAAAGGGAGACGGGGGGACGTTACTTATATAGGATTGGGTGGGGAACTACGGATGGCGCTAGCGGTAAGCGAGGTTGGGCGGTACGACTCGATTGGGTATGTCACGTGGATACTATTGGATGCCTCCTTGCATGCTCATACACTTCGCTTTGAGGACCACACAGGAGGACTGACATGGCTAGAAATATGGTTGAGTTATTTCCTCTGTATACTCCGCATGTATGGAAAGGCCGTCGTCCTCAACGAACTCTAATCGGTGCACTAGGACAAAAACATCAGGTATAGATATCAGGAACGATGCAATACCAAGAGCCAGGATATGGGACAAAGTGCGAATGAATGAAAAGGATTTCCATTGCAAACAAACAACATTAAAGAGTATTTGAATTGTGAAAGTAGTCAGTAGCCAGCATTGATTTCAGTCGCCACCAAAGGTCCTCGTTGCTTTGCGAACCCAACTTAACCATGATAGTGACAGGACTTAATTCCTTCCTGAGCCTTTGGGGTAGACTGGAACAGCCTTATCCGGACCAACGACAGTCTGAAGCGGGAAGAAAGGTTAACACATATCATGAAGGGGTTCAGAACCGCATTAAAAAAACTCACCTTGAGTGGTACGCACCGCTCGAACCCCAAATGGCTTTCCGTCAAGGATCGGTCAGCTTCCACAAAAGAGACATTGTACGAGCTAGCCAGTCTCTTGGCTATGGCCAGTGCGCAATGATTCGAATGCTCAATATCCAAAGCCTTTGAATTGATCATGTTCTTCCCCATATCGACTGCGAGGGCGAGCTTTCGGAAAAGATAGGTACAATGCTCGTCATGCCAGTAGCGCGTATAGGCTACGGGCACTTCCCCAGCCTCCAACTTCTCTACATCAGCATCAATTGTCCTCTGGGGGTCCAGGTACCACTGTCTGTCCCGAAATGTGTCGTAGTCTTCCGTTGCCTCCGGAAAATAGCACTCTGGAGGAATCCATGCGCGTTGCATTGGTTCGAATAAACAACCTCGTGCTCGCGCTTCGTCGGGAGTCACTCCGCAATCGGTGTATGTATAGTGATTTCTGGTATGGGTCATCCAAAAGAATGCAACTGCTCCTGCAAGGGCAATTGCCAACGGTGCATATACGAAAGGCTTTGTGAAAAATGAAAGGGAAAATATCCTCCGGCGTTTAGGCACCGGAGATTCAAGGCCTTCGGTAGATTCGTCTTCGTTCAAAGCTATATATTCACCTCGCTCCGGTTTGCTTTGCGAAGGAGCATCATGATCATGCATTGAAATATTTACTGGCTTCCAAAGTTGTTACTATGTGTTTTTCTTATTCCATTCGCTTGATCTTTTATAATCCAGCATTTTATCAGGGGGAAAGGCCACATACTAGACAGCAAAGCGGAGTATTTCAAGAAACAATTTGTTAGGATCAAGTGAGGCGCTGGAAGCTGAAGGAGAAGTATGGCTGGGGATTTGTAGTGTAGCCTACCTTGGGGATAAGCACATCCGAATGTCAAGTACCTTTCTACGTTTTTATCGCACTTCCAACTTTATTTTTATTTCCCCTAACCCCTCCTTTAGCAAAGAACGGTTATGTACGAACATAATCGTGCTGCCTGCCTATTTCGACATCTTCGAGCGTAATTTAAAAGGAATATAGGAACATCGATCCTCATTGGCCCGATAAGGTACGCAAAGGCTTTGCAGGGATCAATTGATAGCGAATATACCACTATACATGCCCCGAGGGCGCTAAACATGTCTCGACCAGTGTCCAATTCATGCGTTTTTCTAGGAGGGGATGTCCAAGGGTATCAGAATGGAATAAGCACCGAGACAGTATCAACTTATTGTACAGAGTATGCTGAAGGCTAGTACTACTAGTGTTATATTATTGTCATTCAATGAAATCTTACATTATATCTTCGATTGAATCGCTTACGGAGCTACCATTATTTGCTCTGACTATCTCTGGTTGCTTGGTTGCCTCATTACCATGTATACGTCCCCATTGTGGGGCTATTTCAACATCTAAGATAGTGGCTGAGTCGGTCATATACGGAGTCCGAATCCTGCGCCGTACATCACCATCTCATCCGCTTATTTAGCCGGCTGCAAGCTTTTTGTCCTACTTTGCTATCTCAGTACTACTAGGTACTAGTCATGATACTCTGTCCTCTGTGCGCGGCCAATGTGACAATACGCCTTAGACGACGGTCTTGCCTACCCCGCTCACATTGCATTCTCCGTCGGTGCGCTGGTGTTGTCAGTCTCAAGAATGTTGAAAATGATGATGATACATCTCTGGGATGGACACGATTGCTCGGCCCGTTCCGGGTGATGCTGATCCCTTGGCTGTAAAGCTTTGCTGTCAATAATCTGGGATGACCCTCTACCATCCTCTACCAAGTAATATGATTATTGACTACACTACCACTGGTACAATTTACAGCATAATATAGCGGGAGAATGACACCATCGCGTGGGGATCTGACCTCACATTCGCCCGTAATATTATAAGGGATGTATGTACTTTCTGAGCTATCAGCTCAAAATTCTAGTCGTTTACCGGATAGTCTAGCAGTTATTATCCGGAGGGTTTACTACTTACAGCGCACTAGGATGGATCTTGACATATCGGACACTATGATGCTACCGCTTCATGCAAATGAGGCTTTGCCCTATCCAAACAGAACGACACTCGCCTTCCCCTTCCAGAGCTGGGACTTAACTATTCAGCTCATGATGAATCAGCCTATATATGCACAGATATTACCGCCAACTTCGATCAGTCTCCTCTTCTTTCCATCAAGTTCACATGGAATGCCTCCTTCCCAAAGTCATTTAATAGACTTTTGCCTGTACGATCTACGGCAACTGCACCCCACCTCCGCCCCAATATCTTATCGCGACAACAACATAGTCCTTAGACTAGATCGTACGAAGTCGACAAAAGCTATTCATAGGTCCAGGCAACATGAAAGGTGTTCATATATATACTAGTAGCCACTAGGACACGTGCACCCCGCCACATACTATATTGTGTGACTGGAACCCCCGGTATATCATGCCAGTGGGGCCCCGCCTCAAGATTCGCCTCTAACATGAAAACAGTATTCATCTACAACTACTATTTCGCGTGACTATCGATATCACGATGCTAGACAGGCTACCCCCCGAACTACTGCGCATGGTGTCCGATCATGTAAGCAGTCCTCTGTCCCTCTCCAGAAGCGTTTTGAAACAGACTAACTCGCCATCCCAGGTGACTCGCAAAGATCTCAAAATCCTCTGTGAAGTCTCCAAAAACATCTATGTAAAGTTGATTGAACGTCTATATGAATCACTCATTATAAGAGCAACGCACCCATCAGCTCAGTTCTTGAACGACGCAATCACGAGGTTAGATCACTCGCTTTTAGTGCATACAAAGCACTTCAGGCTGTGGAGTGCATGTCATGAGATAGAAAGTTATCAATACTGTTCTTTGCATGATTTCCTGATTCGCAGGCTAAAAACTCCTCCGGATGATTCTGATGACTCTATGCCAGAATCGATACTGCACCAGACCACTACATTTGACTGCACTCCGATCTTGACACACAACATGCAGGGCATGGCATCGGGAATCCCTCAGGGCCAACTTCAGAGCTTCCAGTACAGATACTGATTTCTGATGCACTACGCCGAGTCAACACTAACATGCTATAGGTGGGATTTAAAAGCGTGTCTTTCCGACGAAGTGGTTCCCCTCATCCACAGGTTCTTAGAGACCCAAAAGAACATCACTACTATCTCTCTCCTCACTGATAGCGACTGTGCTGTAGCCGAAATCCAACAAGCGTCATGCGTCATAAATCTTGCTCAGCTTTCTAAGCTCCAATCCCTATCCTGGAGAGGTCTTAAGCGCTTTGTTGATTTCGATTCGGTTAGACAGTTTATCGCTGCACGTGGAGCTCAATTGAAGGCACTGAACCTCGATCTTGTCGGCTGGGATAGCGCTAGACTGGCCTGGGAAGAAGGGTTTCGAAAATTGCCCATCACAGATATATGGATGCCACAGAACTTCTTTGTGCAATGCGTGCTTGGTCTTTCATGTGAAGAAAGACCATGGCCCCTTCTCACAGCCCTTGAACGCTTGACTCTCTCCCAAGTATCTTTCAGCCGCATGGAGGTCCAATTGGTCGGTGCTCTTAACGTAGAGCGACTCCAAGCAATGCAACTCATCAACTGCCCCGGGACATTTAGTTTTCTTCGGCAAATCGTTCGCTCACGCATATCTCTAAGGCTGAAACTGCTCGAGTTGACATTCAACCCGGAAAAGCTGAACCAAATAACCGATGAGTCACAGGATAATCTCAACGACACCGTGAAAACCTTCCTCGAGGCCTTTTCCGGCTTGACAGATCTCTATCTTATGCTCCCAGAGGTCTCCTGGGATGATATATGTCAAAGCATGTTGCATCACAAGCCCACACTGAAGCGCCTCGTCACGCACTCGCTCGTGAGTGCAGAATACGGCCACTACGGAGACGGAGATCTGTTTGGGTCGCTTGAATTCCGACCCAGCATATCCCACGATCCAGGGTTGGAATTTCTCGGAGTCTCGACATGCATCGAGGATGTGTGTTCATTTGCGGTATCCGCCACCCTATCTGCCCCCTTCCCCCTTTCAATTTCTATAATATTGACATGGATTGCCGTCAAATGCTGACCTATAATTCCTCTGGAACAGGGCGACCACAGTCTCAGCCCCACTATCAAATTACTTCATATCAGAGCAAATGGGCACTGGTTACACGAACATAAACCAGAAAGTTCTGTAGCCCATGATGTTCTGCCTTCCTA